ATAGTATGCAGATTCCTATAAACTCATCAGTTACTCGCAACATATATCCCATCTTTCATAATTTCTACTATTTCAATAATCCAATAAATTCAAGATAACTAATATCTCAAGGAAATTCAAAATCTCCTAATAAATCACCAATTTTCACATTATTCAACAATTTAATCCTATTCAAAATCACATTTTTCATTTTCTCAAATTTCTAGGGTTTGAAAAAATTTAGAGTTTTCTCAATTTAAAAATATAACCAAAGTTTTAAAATAACGATGGCGTTTACTGAAATGGTAGCGGTAATACAGACCCGGTTGCGGGGTGTAGACTGTCGTTGTGTAACTCTGTGGCAACTGGAGCCGTGAATTTTTTAATTCTTCGCACAACTTTAAGAAGCATACCGAATGCATGTTTTTATTTCAGAATCACATTTAGTGAGGCTCAAAATGATTTTTGGTATTTTTGTTTAGTTTTAAAAAAATGATCCAATATATATACTAATTTTTATGTTAGTTTTAAGTTGCTTTGAAAAAATTTTCCTATGTTGATTTATTTAATTTTCATTACTTTACTAATTATAATTATGGATAACTTTTTCGATTTGTTAAAAAAAATGAATATTTAAAACAATAGTCTCATAAATAAAAAATTCAAATACAAAATGTATAATAATTGTAAAAGTACGTAACATGAAATCTAAATTTTGTTCAATAAATTTAACATAAGAGAAATATATTAAGTTCATATGCAAATATAATTAAGTAAAAAGGTAGTTAAACTATAGCGATCCCGGGTTTACCTTGTTGTACAGTGATCCGGACATGTGTCCGCGGATGACAGTAGTTATTATCTACCTTGTGTACATCCTTTCTTACTTTGTATTTGAGTTATAGGATGTTGTTGGGCAGGTTTGTCAGGTCGGTTGAGTTAGAAACCAAAACTAGTTGCCCAGATTTTGACCTGTCCGCTCGAGCGAGGGTTTTCGGCGCTCGAGCGGGAATTTCACCCATCCAGTATTTCCTGTGCAGTGTTGGACGCTCGAGCGTGGGATTGGCCGCTCGAGCAGGATTGGAGTGAGTGCCGCTCCAGCGGGAGTTGGATGCTCGAGCGGAGACCTGTCTGCAAGAGTTCTGGAGTGTGCATCCGGAGCTCGAGCGGGGGATTGGCGCTCGAGCGGGAGTCTGTGAGTGACGCTCGAGCGGGGAGTTTGACGCTCGAGCGGGGCGACTTTTATATAAAATCCGAGATCCGACTTTTGGATCACTTTTTCAAGATCTTTTCTCTCTCTTTTTCCAAAAAGCCATTTTTAGAGCTTCTCACTCTAAAACCGGCCCTTCTCTCTTAGATTGATCTAGTAGGAGTTGTTGCTCACTTTTGGCCTTTACGAAAGTTGTGTTGATCGTCGAGGGCTACATTTTAATCTGAAAAATTTCAAAAATTTAGAGCATTTTGGTTTTGGTCTTCATCTCCATTGGAGTTCAACTTTGAGGTAGGGATATCCTACTCCTTTTTATGAGCTTGTCTTTAAATTTTAGTATTTTGAGATGTTAGGGTTGGGTTTTGGTAATTTGGTGAAAATTTGGGGCTTTTGTGTAAATTTCCAAAAGTGGGGTTTTAGCGATATAAAGCCTAGATGCATGTTTCGGCATGAAAAGGTGAAATTAATGTTAAAACATTAAAGAAAATGGAACCTAAGGGTTGTAATGTATATTGAAAATGCCCTAATTACAAAGACTTAATTTAATTTGAATATTAATTGTTGAGAATGTGGAAATTGGAAAGAGGAGGTTAAGGTAGTAGTTGGATTATTTATCACTACCCTAGTAATGAAATGTTATTTTATATCCAATATGTTGCAATTATATTTTCTTGTATAGAAATAACTGCTTTGGGCTATCAGGTAGAGAGAATAGTCTTGATTGTTGTGGACAATGCATGATGATAGGCAAACTGGAAACTAATCACTGGAAATGTGTCAATTGAGATTGACGATTGAAAAAATACATTAAATTTATGTATTGTTTGATGATGTGTATAATTGTTGTTCATATGCATTGTGTTGTATTGGAGGAGATAGGGGATGTACTCCGCCGGTTTAGGGGAAGATAGGGATGGACCTCTAAACCGGATGTGGTTGGGAAGAGATAGGGGATGGACTCCGTAGATAGAGCTCATATGCTTATCTAGTAATGTGATGACAGAGCTCATATGCTTGTCATTGGAAGTGTGATAGTGCTCATATGCATATCTGTGGAAGTGATGATATAGCCTGTATGCTTTATCTGTTGTTGTGTGATATAGCTAGTATGCTTATCTGTTATGAAATGGAAGTGTTTGATATGAGTTTACCGTCTCATATGAGTTATTTGGCCAGGTTCTGAGCCATTGGTTGTAAATTGAGAATTGAAGGAATTGAAAAATGGACTGTAATATGGACTTGCATGTCATGAAACCGTAAAATATGATAAGGGAAAGTATCTGTGTTGGCCATCTATCAAACTGCTAATCTTTTAGTCATTGTTCATATTTGTTTAGTATGTTTTCTACTGGGCTGTGGCTCACCCTATATAGGAATATCATTTTCAGGTACAGGTAGCATGCCACCTCCAAGGACATAGCTTTGGGAGGCTAGAGGCGGACACACTTTGTCGTTTTATTTTGATGTATTACGTTGCAAATTCAAGCCAAGGGCTTAATGTGTAAATGAGTTAGTACTCTTTTGTTGTAACCAAGTGTTAACTTTGGAAAGCTGTAAGCCTTTAGGGCATTTGCTTTTGTCGTTACATGTAATACTTCTTGTAATGAAACTTTGATAAATGGAAGAATGTGGAAACTTTTATATATCAATGCATGTCTATATTGATGGGTTTAATGTTGTTATTTTTGAGGGCGTCACATAAACCCTGTAGAACTAGAAGATGGACATTCAATATATATAGATAAAATTTTTACTTAAATTTACGTAACTAGAAAATAAAGAGAGAAAATAGCAAAAATACGCAAAATTTATATAAAAATAATATATATATATATATATATATATATGCCTGTGTGTGGTGTCTCTGTGTGTAACGGCTGTGACAGTACTGTAGCGCAATGAACGGCCGCTACAGCCTTTACGTTGTAAGAATCCTGAAAACTTTTTCTGTATATTCAATTGTATTCAAGTTACAATCAGACCTTAGATTATATAGCCCTAAATCCTAAACCAAAAGGAAAATACAAATACAATTATAATTATGTCTTCTAACAGGATTCTAACACAATCATGCCTCTAATAGGACTCTAATTTGTAAAACACAGAATAATAAACACAGGATAATATATTTCTATATTCTCACACCCCCGCTCAAACTCAAGGTGTTTTAAGCAGAAAACACTGAGAGTTGCTAAGTAAGAACTGAATTAGATATTTTAAACCAAATAATCTCTTCCAAACAATGCCTACATCTCTTTTTTGAAAATTTTATGCTACACCCAAGTTATATCATTTTTGATTTTAATCCTAATTTTAAAATATGTAGTTATATTTAAAAAAAAAATTACATATACTAAATTCAAAAATATATTAATTTTTTATAATTTTTATTTTATTTTTTAAATATATTTAGATTGAATATATTTTTAAAAATTATTAAAAATATAAAAATAAGAAAAACTAAAACTTATATATAAAAACTCAAAACCAAACAGATTCTGTAGTCGGTCTTATAAATCC